GCTTCCCTCCCACTGCTACCAGCCCCTGGTGCAGCTCCTGTGCCAGGAGGTGAAGTTGGGGCGCCAGGTGAGGGCTCCATGCCCAGCCCTGCTGGAGCAGCCACATTTCCCAGCTCTGTGCTGTGGTGTCTGCCTGCCTCAGGCTGCCACATTATGGTGCCTCTTCCCTCCAGGATGGCCAAGTGCACCTGGTCACCCTCCTGGACGAAACCACCACGGCCGAGTGCCGGCAGGAGGTCGCCATCAACTTGGTCAAACTCTTCCTGGGCCAGGGGTTGGTCAAGGAGTTCCTGGACCTGCTCTTCGAGCTGGAGCTGGCCAAGCCCTGTAAGGCTGGAGTGGGGAATGGAGCTGGAGGCTTCCTTGTCATCTCCTGGGGCTGCAGAACCTTCAGAGGCTTTTGTGGGGATTTTTTTGGGAGTGATGTCTCAGCCATCGCACTGTGGAATCTGTTGGGTTCATCCCAGCAATTCATGGGCTGAGGCTGGTGGAGAAGCAGGTGGTTTGAGGTTAGGAAATGCCCATGGCCAGGGGCACAGGGCACAGCCTCTGGGAATGGTTGCAGCAGCTCAGGGATGACCTGTGGCCTTCCCCCAGGCCATGGACCCTCTCCTGTTTTGCAGGTGAGCCCAACACTCTGTTCCGGAGCAACTCTCTGGCCTCGAAGTCGATGGAATCCTTCCTCAAGGTGCCACACCACCCAAAACCAGCTCTTCCCAGGTCATCCTGGCCCTGGGCAAGGATCTCCCAGTTCTTCCCAGGGGAAGAACTGGGAGGGCTGGTGTGCTTGTGCCTCCCCCTGGGGCTGGGAGGCTGGAGAAAATCCACTGGGTGACCCTGGGGGTGTCGGGTGCCAAACCTGTGTCCCATCCCTGTCCCCCGTGTGGTCCCTCGGCAGGTGACAGGGATGCCATACCTGCACTTTGTCCTGGGCCCCACCATCACCCGCGTGTTCGAGGAGAAGAAATACGTGGAGCTGGACCCCGGCAAGGTGGAGATCAAAGACGTCGGGTAAGGGACTCGTGGGGGTGGCAGGGCAGGGGTGGCCCCACCCAGCAGGGGTGACAGTGACGATGCCCGCAGGTGCTCGGGGCTGCACCGGGTGCAGACGGAGGGCGAAGTGATCGAGCAGGGCCGGCAGCACCTCCAGTCCTACCTGGGCGAGCTCCTGGACGCCATCGTCAGGTCGGCCCCGGCGTGTCCCCCCCTGGTCCGCGCCGCGTTCCGCCAGCTCTTCCAGCGCGTCGGGGAGCGCTTCCCGCAGCACCAGGTCGGGCTGGGACAGGGGACAGTGTGGGGTCAAACAGGGACATCCCCAGGGGACGGTGTGGGGTCAAACAGGGACATCCCCAGGGGACAGTGTGGGGTCAAACAGGGACATCCCCAGGGAACAGAGCTCTCTGGGTGTTCAGTGGGGTCCCCTCTTGAGCAGGAGGGCAGCGAGCCCGATCATCAGCCCTGGACAGCGCTGCATCGCTGTTTTTGGGGTTGTCCCATGCTGGGAGAGACCCTCACGTGTGTTCCCCACCCCCTCGGTGGTCACAGCACGCCAAATTTGTGGCTGTCACCAGCTTCCTGTGCCTGCGCTTCTTCTCTCCGGCCGTGATGACCCCCAAGCTGTTCCAGCTGCGGGACGCGCACGCAGACGCGCGGACCGGCCGCACTCTGCTGCTGCTGGCCAAGGTGCGACAGGGGACACCTTCGGGTTGCCTGGCTGGCTGTCGCTGGGGACAGCCGGGTCTCCTGGAGGTGACGCTGCCACCCCCGGGGTCCCCAGGCCATCCAGCTGGTCGGGAACATGGAGCCGGCGGCCGGGCGTGCCAAGGAGACGTGGCTGTCACCGCTGCTGCCCGCCCTGCAGCAGGGCACCGCCCGCATGAGGGACTTCATCACCCGCCTGGTGGCCGCGGAGGAGGACGAGGGCGAGGAGGAAGGTGAGGGGCGGCCGCTGGGGCCCCCACCGGCCGTGCTGAAAGAGGGGCTGCTCCTTGTGCACAAGACGCGGGGCAAGGGGCCGCTGCTCGCTGCTGCCGCCGGCAAGAAACTTCATTTCTGCCTCACCGGGGAGTCCCTGGGCTTCGGCAAGAGCCCCGGTGCGGAGGTACGGGCGTGCCGGAGGGGCGGGGGGGCGGCAGCGGGGCGGCACCGACCCCCTTTGTGTGTCCCCTCCATCAGCGTATGGGT